GACCTGGAAACAAATGTCTGAAACATGCTGCAGCCACGCAGCGCGGAACACATCCAATGCGTGTCCCATGACGCACGTTCGGTCACGCACCCGACATAAAGTAGGGCGGAAGTCCACGAAAGTAGGGCGGAAACATCAACAGGAAAGTAGGGCAGAAATTGGCATCACCGGGGCTTGGAAAGTATGGCGGACATTCCAAGCCCCACTTACAACATTGCCCAAAGTAGGGCGAGTCCAGAGTCAGGGCATGCGCTGCACCTACACAGGCGGGAACGCCACTGAAAGTGTGGTCTTATTGTCTACGAATGCTTACTCAGGCTTATGCCAGGATTATCTTACTCAGGTCGGTGCCGTCCTCTGGGGCCTGGCGGGCGCCCACTCGATCAAGTATTTTACTCCGGGCCACGTTTTCCTATTTTGCCCGCGGCGCCCGCCGGGTTTTTTCCCCAACCCTCCTTGGTTGGGTATTCGTTTTGAATACAGCAGCGTGGTCTCCACTCCTTCCTTCCTCCTCCTCCCTCCCTGCCTCTTCATGTCTTGCCTGCGGGGGGCTGCGATCTGTGAAACTGTCGCCATGTTCGAGGCCTGCTGGGGGGCCCAGCACAGTGAGGGCCACGCGCGGATTCAAATTAGACCTCGCCATCCCTGGGGGGCTGCGATCTGTGAAACTGTCGCCATTTTCGAGGCCTGCTGGGGGGCCCAGCACAGTGAGGGCCACGCGCAGATTCAAATTAGACCTCGCCATCCCTGGGGGGCTGCGATCTGCGAAACTGTCGCCATTTTCGAGGCCTGCTGGGGGGCCCAGCACAGTGAGGGCCACGCGCGGATTCAAATTAGACCTCGCCATCCCTGGGGGGCTGCGATCTGTGAAACTGTCGCCATTTCGAGGCCTGCTGGGGGGCCCAGCACAGTGACGCCACGGGCGGATTCAAATTAGACCTCGCCATCCCTGGGGGGCTGCGATCTGTGAAACTGTCGCCACTTTCGAGGCCTGCTGGGGGGCCCAGCACAGTGAGGGCCACGCGCGGATTCAAATTTGACCTCGCCATCCCTGGGGGGCTGCGATCTGTGAAACTGTCGCCATTTTCGAGGCCTGCTGGGGGGCCCAGCACAGTGAGGGCGACGCGCAGATTCAAATTAGACCTCGCCATCCCTGGGGGGGCTGCGATCTGTGAAACTGTCGCCACTTTCGAAGCCTGCTGGGGGGCTCACCACAGTGAGGGCGACGCGCAAATTCAAACTAGACCTCGCCATCCCTGGGGGGCTGCGATCTGTGAAACTGTCGCCGTTTTCGAGGCCTGCTGGGGAGCCCATCACAGTGAGGGCGACGCGCAGATTCAAATTAGACCTCGCCATCCCTGGGGGGCTGCGATCTGTGAAACTGTCGCCACTTTCGAGGCCTGCTGGGGGGCCCAGCACAGTGAGGACGACGCGCGGATTCAAATCAGACCTCGCCATCCCTGGGGGGCTGCGATCAGTGCAACTGCCGCCATTTTCGAGGCCTGCTGGGGGGCCCAGCACAGTGACGCCACGCGCGGACCCAAATTAGACCTCGCCATCCCTGGGGGGCTGCAATTTGTGAAACTGTCGCCACTTTCGAGGGCTGCTGGTGGGTCCTGCGGAGTGAGGGCACGCCCGGGCCCAAATTAGACCTCGCCATCCCTGGAGGGGCTGCGATCTGTGAAACTGTCGCCACTTTCGAGGTCTGCTGGGGGGCTCAGCACAGTGACGCCACACGCAGATTCAAATTAGACCTCGCCATCCCTGGGGGGGCTGCTGGTGGGTCCTGCGGAGCGGGGCACCGCGCGGACCTGAGCGGGACCTCGCCGTCCCTGGGGGGCTGCGATCTGCGAAGCTGTCGCCACTTTCGAGCGCTGCTGGTGGGTCCTGCGGAGTGAGGCACCGCGCGGATCTGAGCGGGACCTCGCCGTCCCTGGGGGGCTGCGATCTGCGAAACGATCGCCACTTTCGAGCGTTGCTGGTGGGTCCTGCGGAGTGAGGCACCGCGCGGACCTGAGCGGGACCACGCCGTCCCTGGGGGGCTGCGATCTGCGAAGCTGTCGCCACTTTCGAGCGCTGCTGGTGGGTCCTGCGGAGTGAGGCACCGCGCGGACCTGAGCGGGACCTCGCCGTCCATGGGAGGCTGCGATCTGCGAAATTGTCGCCGCTCTCGATGGCCGCTCGTGGGTCCTGCGGAGTGAGGCACCGCGCGGACCTGAGCGGGACCTCGCCGTCCCTGGGGGGCTGCGATCTGCGAAGCTGTCGCCACTTTCGAGGGCTGCTGGTGGGTCCTGCGGAGTGGGGCACCGCGCAGATCCGAGCGGGACCTCGCCGTCTCTGCGGGGCTGCGATCTGCGAAATTGTCGCCACTTTCGAGGGCTGCTGGTGGGTCCTGCGGAGTGAGGCACCGCGCGGACCTGAGCGGGACCTCGCCGTCCCTGGGGGGCTGCGATCTGCGAAGCTGTCGCCACTTTCGAGCGCTGCTGGTGGGTCCTGCGGGGTGAGGCACCGCGCGGACCTCAGCGGGACCTCGCCGTCCCTGGGGGGCTGCGATTTGCGAAGCCGTCGCCACTTTCGAGGGCTGCTGGTGGGTCCTGCGGAGTGAGGCGCCGCGCGGACCTGAGCGGGACCTCGCCGTCCCTGGGGGGCTGCGATCTGCGAAGCTGTCGCCACTTTCGAGGGCTGCTGGTGGGTCCAGCGGAGCGAGGCACCAGGCAGATCTGAGCGGGACATCGCAATCCTTGGGGGGCTGCGAGCCTCACGAATGCCGCTCGCAGAAGTATATGCGCCCATGTCACGCCAACACCTCCGTATAACGTCTCCCAAGCTACTCATGCCCCACATTACGCAGGTGTTGGGTACGTCGCCAGGGTAATTTTGAGCCGAGTCGCGCGTGTCTTTGGTTTGCCACGCTAAAGAACGCCGCAGTTTCATTTCTACGGGTTCCTTAACGTTTTGATAGTTATTTCGCCGGGGAAAACCCAATCAGTGGATGTTTTGAAATTACTATTATGGATATTGAGATCGTTTGTGAGAACGATAATAACATCGATAGTGAACTCGATAGTGGGGACGATTGTATGGTTGATCGTGAGACCGAGAGTGAAATCGATTCAATGAGATCGATAACCTCATGCCCGTGAGAATAAACACTAGGGGATAATAAAGTTCGGGGTTCAGGGAGAGATAATAAAAGTAGCCCAGCAGACCTCAGCATAATCTCGAAGTAAGAGATGATCAAGAGGAGACCAAGCCGAGCACGTTTTGAGACATCCTTGGCGTTTAGTTTTCATAGAAATATCCTCAACAATGGCTTATCTCTCATGAAAATTGTTTTTTGTACGTGCTCGTGTAGGGTAGCTCATGTGCCTCAATTTCCATGGATAATCAACCCCATAGATAAAAAAAGTTCAGGCGAGCGTGGGGACAGAGAAGCAAACTATAAAAGAAGAAGAATACAGTAGAAGAATAATAAGAAAGAAGAAGAAGAAGAGGATAATAAGAAGAGGACGAAGAAAGGAAAAATCCAAAGTTCCAAATCTATCAGTTTTAATTTACAAACGCTTTATGAAAATTGATGTTTTAAAGTGCTCGTGTAGGGTAGCTCATGTGCTTCATTTTCCATGGATAATCAACCCCAGGGATAAAAAAGTTCAGGCGAGCGTGAGGACAGATAGAAATATAAAAGAAGAAGAGGAAAGTATAATAATAATAATAAGAACATTGCTCGTTTCGTTTGAGTCTGCCTCCCAAAATTATTGGTTTCGCTTGACACATCCTGAAAAAGTGTGATCGCTTCGCTTGATGTTGCTATATCAGCATCGCTTGATGTTGCTATCTCAACATAGCGTTTCGAGGTGATAATGAAGTTCGGCCTCAGCGCTCGCTGCCCAATTTGAATTTTGTATAGGGCGACGATAATCAACTCTAAATACTGAAGGGGGGGGGTCCCTTTATTATCATCGGCATGCGGTTAGTGAGGTCGATCGCGAGATTGCTCGTGCGATCTCTAGTGAAATCGCTTGCTAGATCGATAGTGAGATCAATTGTGAAATCGATGGTGATATCAATGGAGAAGTGGGTCATGAGATCGATGGTGGGACCGATCGATAAGAAGATCGACCCGGGAACCCGGGAACCTCGCCGCCCTCCGAAATCGGCCCGGAACCCCGAACCGGGAATCGAACCCGGAACAGGGAAACCGGGAACCCAGCTTGCGACCAAAATCGGCGGGAAATTTTCACCAAATCCTTCGACCTCCGCGAGGACCCTTTCAGTGCAAGCACTAATTGGGGAATACAAAAAGGAGGAGGAGGAGGAGGAGGAGGAGGAGGAGGAGGAGGAGGAGGAGGAGGAGGAGGAGGACATTCCTGGCCAGTGAATGGACTGCCCCGATTTGCGCCCGGCTGTGGCCGCGAGGGCCCTCCAGGAGGCCCGTGGGCGGCGCCGCCGTCGTCGGTCTGTCGCTCGTTCGGTCGATCGGTCGGTCGTCACTCTTCGGTCGGTCCGATTGGTCACCGCTGGATCGGTCGGTCGGTCGGTCGACGGTTGGTCGTCCGTCATCGCCGCCGCCGCCGCCGTCGTCGCCGTCGTCGCCGTCGTCGTCGTCGTCGTCCGTCGTCGTCGTCGTCGTCGTCGTCGTCGTCGTCGCCGCCGTCGTCGTCGTCGTCGTCGTCGCCGTCGTCGTCGTCGTCGTCGTCGTCGTCGACTTCGTCGTGGTCCGTCGTCGTCGTCGTCGTCGTCGTCGTCCGTCGTCGTCGTCGTCGTCGGTGTCGCCGCCGTCGTCTTCGTCGTCGCCGTCGTCGACGTCGTCGTGGTCCGTCGTCGTCGTTGTCGGCGTCATCGTCGCCGTCGTGGTCCGTCACCGTCGTCGTTGCCGTCACGATTGTCGTCCGTCGTCCACGGTCGCCGTCGTCGACGGCCGTCGTCCTTGTCCACGGTCGTCGTCGACGATCGTCGTCCTCAGCCTCGTCATCGTCGTCGTCCTTCGCGCCACCGAGGTGACGTACGCCTGGTCGTGCGTTGCTGTTCCCGACGGCGTCCACAGCCCCGTGTGCCCGCCGCTCACCAGCGCAATGGGGGCCTCGGCGGAGCGTCTGACCATCGACGGAGGGCTGTTGCCCCCAGGCTCGGAGGAGAAGAATGCAATACAGTCGGGGCCCTGAAGAAGGAACCCTTTTCGTTGGGGAGGGGCTCCGCGTTCCTTACGTGTTTCTCAGCTTGCCTCAGGCTTCCCTTATGTGTTCGACAGGAAATCGAAGGTTAACTTGTGGACTAAAAGGGGCCTCGTTCCTCATGTAGGGTTCCTTAGGTCAACGCCCCAACTGCACCAGTATTTGTTCCGTTCTCGTCCCTTATTTAGGGGCCTCGTTCCTTATGTGGGGTTCCTTAGGTCAAGGCCCCGATTGTACCAGTATTTGTTTGTTTCGTTCTTGCCTTTTGGGGGGGCCTCTCGGGGGGGGGGGCCCGTCGCCCCGGAGTCGTGGTCAGAACGCACCTCAGAAGAGGTCCTCCTCCTCCTCCTCCTCCTCCACTTCCTCCTCCCTTCCTCATCCTCCTCCTCCTCCTCCTCACTCCTCCTCCTCCCTTCCTCCTCCTCCTCCTCCTCCTCCTCCTCCTCCTCCTCCTCTGAGGAGAGGTCTGGGGGCAGCGGTATCGACACCTACGGGTGTCGAGTATATGATGCTGGCATGCGCATTCGTTTTGCTTCGGCCGATCCCATCCAGAGAGTTGTTGCGAAGGGTTTCGAAGTCACTCGTGCGTGACTCCACCGTGCGACAGATGAACTGCATACGCGTTCACGCATGTGTTGGGTGATTGTGATGTGTCCAGGTTGTGTTATGCGGTGCTGGTGCACATTAGTTTGCTGGGTTTCGCTTGTATGTGTGTTATGTGAAGTGTATGATGTCCGACGTGTACACGGTATGGTTGATGATGGTTCTGCATAATGTATGTTGTTGGTCAGTGTCATGTCGTGAATTACATGTCAATGTCAGTGGTATGAGTTCCTCTGATTGTTATGTTCGCACGGTCTTTACGCATGCTGTTGATATCTCTGGCTGTTTCGAGGTGTGACAGTTTTGTGTGTGGTTGATGACTGAGGTTGGCAATTGTCATTGTTGTATATATGTGCGTGGTGTCTGTAATAATGCTGCTTACTGGTGTGTCTGTGTGTGTGACCGCGATTGGTATGGGCGGTGACTGCTCCTCATCCAAGAGTCTTCGATGAGCTGCACAGATGGCCCCCGAACAGCGCTCGCACCAGGACGGTTGCTTGCTGCCTTGAGCGCTTGGACCGGATTTCCAGGTTTTTGGCCGATGCCCCGCTGTGGGCGCTTCGTGGGGAAAAAAAGAAAAAGAACAAAGATGAATCACAAACAGATAAGAAGAGCAAAAAGAAAAATAATATCAAAAAAATAATAACAAACAAAAATAATAACACAAAACACACACACACATGAATCACAAACAGATAAGAACAGCAAAAAGAAAAAGAAGAACACAAAAAATAATCACAAACAAAAAGAAGAACAAACCAATAAACAAAACTGGAGTAACACACGAACGAAGAAGTGTGGGCGCTGCGTGGACGCCCCGTGCGCTGGCCAGGCTCTCCACGCTTCCTGCCCGGCCGCGGTGCCCCGCCGTGGGCGCCCCCCTCGCGGGCGCCGCGGGGCGCCGGCGCGGGTTCCCTCTGGGTGTCCGGCAGGTGCCTGGCCGTGTCCTCCTCCTCCTCCTCCTCCTCCTCCTCCTCCTCCTCCTCCTCCTCCTCCTCCTCCCTGCCTCCTCCTCCTCCTCCTCCTCGACCTCCTCTCCCGATGGTCTGCCCTTCCGGGAGCCTCCTCCAAGTATGGAGGCCTCGCGTGCTTCGGGGGCGGAAAAGAGGGGGGTGATGACTAGGGGGGGGGGGGATATCATGGCGCGGGCCACGATGTCTCCGCAGATGTCATGGCGCCTCGTCTCATTTCATCACGCTCCTGGGCCCCGCGCTGGGCCGCGCACGTGCCGCCGGTCATGATTTGCACCCCCCCCTTCTTGGACACCCCCCTCTTGGCCGCTCCCGGGTGTCGGCACGAACGATATGGGCACGGAGAGAACGGGCACAGTGCTCTGCACGGAGGAAGCCCAGATATCGGGCGTCTCGAGAAGATCGAGACCCAGACCCCCTCGAGTAATGAAAAAATCACGACGGGAGGTTTTTTGTCATTTTCGGCCTCTGGGGGCCCTCACCGGGCCTCGGGAGCGTCAAAAAACGACTCGGGGTGACAAACCGGTCCTGGGGAAGGGGTCGAGAACTCTGGGGTCGACGTAATGAAAAATTCATTACGTCGGGGGTCTGGGGACAGAGGTTTTTCATGGTTTTGGGCCTCTCGGGGCCCTCGCCGGGCCTCGGGACCGTCAAGAAACGGCTCGGGGTGAAAAGCCGGTCCCAGGGAAGTGGTCGGGAGGTCGGGGGCCCGCGTCTCGGAAAAATCCAGACGTCGGATGTCTGGGAATGGGTACGGAAAGAATGGGTGCAGTGCTCAACAGCAGTTCCTGTTCATTTTGAACAGGGCTCGCTGTCCGCGGCGCCGCGGCCTGTGTCCATTTGAGACAGACGGCCGCCTGCCCAACTTCGGCCGCTGTTGGTTTGGGACAACATTTGTTGTTGGGCATTGCACCCGTCTTTTCCGTACCCATTTCGGGCGTCCAAAGTCGTGAGCCCTTCGTGAGCGTTCCGTGCGATGGTCGGGTGTTTCTGGGCCTGCGGCGCTGCACAGCGTATATCGCACCGCTTTCGCACGATACGGTTTTCACGACGCAGTTTAGACCGCAGGATTAGCTTAAGCCACAGATCTCGCACCGAATCGACTGCACCACATAGCTTACACAGCATGGCTTGCACCACATATGTTGCACCTCTTTGCTTGCACCAGACAGCTTGCAGCACGCAGCGCTTGCACCGCTCAGCATGCACCACATAGCTTGCAGCACATAGATGTTACCACATACCTTGCACAACATGCATTTTGTAATATACATATATACATATTTAAATACATTATATATATATCGCACGAAGTAGTAGTTTGCACAACATAGTTTGCTCCACTTAGCATACACCACGAAGCTCACACCACAGCTTGCACCGCAGAGCTTGCACCACATAGCTCGGAGCTCGTTGCTTTCGCCACGTAGCGTGCACCACACGTAGCTTCGACATACCTGTCGCATTCACGATGTCAGAAGTCATCATGTCGTGTCCACGCTTGGAAACATCTGTCCTTGACTTAGGCGACTGGTGTGGGAACTGGCCAGCATCTCGGTTGATTTCAAGCAACCTGACCTGCTGCGGTCGGCGCTTCGGAGAAGCGCGCCAGTTTGGGCAAGGTCCGTGGCCCCAGATATACCCCAAACCCTCGCGTTCCCCGCTCTCACCCTTGCGAACAGCGCCGACGCCGAGAATGTATGCCCGCGCGCACGTATATTATTGCGGTATGGTCTTGGTGCATGCTTGTCTTGTGTGTTATTCACGTATGCCCAGATGCATGTCATTGCTGTTGTTCGTGTTCGACGTCATGCTGCGTGTGCGATTGATTCATGTTCGTAGTATCCGTTCTTGACGTGCATTCTTGATGTACGGTCCTGCTGTGTGTTTACAGACCCTTTTTTTGATGTATGGTACGGACGCCGGACAGTGACGCATGCTGCTGTTGTGTGATATAAGTGTGTGTGTGTTGATGTATGTGTGTGGCGTCTGTTTTCGGTTTTTGTTCCTGGCGTTGAGTATTGAAGCATAATCGTAATGCACGCTGTGTTAGGTGTACCCAGTGTTGTTGTGCGTTCTGACTGTACGGTACGCATGCGTGGCCTGGAAAGATTATGTTGGTGTGCGTGTTGGGTGTAGTGTGTTTGGTGCGTGTTGTTGATGTAGGTTCCTAGCGTCCTTGCCCGGTGTAAGATCTAGGTGTATGTCATGTGAGTGTGATATACGTGGATGCTTATGTTGCATGTCATTATTTGTGGTCCTAGTGTGCGCGCTTGATGGGTGTGATTGGTGCCTGTGGTTGGTGCTTGCCGCTGCTGTATGTTATGAATGTGTGGGATATTGCAGTATTGCTGTTAATGTATGTCACGGGTGTCCGTCTCTCATGCACGTGGGTTGTTCGTGCTTATTATGCGTGACTAGTCCTGAAGCGCGTTCTTGCTGCATGTTCTACAGCTGGGTTATTGGTGTACCCCTAGGTGTGCCTGTTATTTTTAGGGGTTGTCCTGATGTCTGTTACTGAAGGATTTGCTCGATGTGTGCTGTCAAATATGTTGCTTCATGCGTGCTGCTGGTGTGTGTGTCGCTGATGTGCGTTATCGGTGTCTGCTATAGGTGCATGTGCGTGGCGGCTGCCTTTCATGCATGATATCGCTTTGCGTACTGGCGCATGTGATTGATATCTCTGTGTTTATGTGTGTGATGTGCTTAGTGTTCTGCGTTGCCAATGCTCGTTGTTAGTGTAGGTTGTCGTTGTTAGTTCCTGGGGAATGTTCTTAGTATCGACTCTTGGTGGCTAACCTGGATGTATGATGGCAATGTGTGTACGTGATGCACTGTGCCGATGTATGCTAGTTGTGTCTGTGAGTGATGTGACGCCTTTGCGTTGCGGCGCCTGTCATGTCGCTGGTGCATGTTTCTGTCGTGTGTCATCGATGCCTGTTCGTGGAATATATCCTTAATGCCCTTTCTTGATGTGTCTTGATGTCGGTCATTGGTGTATGTCCTTCGTGTATGTTAGGTGTGCCTGTGTATGCGGTCAGTCTTGTCTATGTCCGTGACGTCTGTTCTTGATGCATCATGGCGGCGTATGTCATTGACATTGGTCCTATCGGTGTGTGCTGCTCTGTAGGTGTGCTATTGATGCAAGTGTTGGTGATGTATGTTGTGCGTGTATGGCACTGGTGTGTGTTGTGGATTCGTGTGCTCGATGCCTGTTCTTGGCATTGGCTATCCTGTGCCCCATGCCTGCTGCTGGTGTCAGTTCGAGGCGGCATCCTCGGGGACCGGTCGGGATCCTGTGGGCCTGGCGACCGCGGAGTGCAGACCTCCTCTCCTGGGCGCCAGGGAGGGGGGCAAGGAGGAGGAGGAGGAGGAGAAGGAGGAGGAGGAGAAAGGAGGAGTAGGAGGAGGAGGAGGAGGAGGAGGAGGAGGATGAGGAGAGGAGGAGAACGAGGGAGAGAGGAGGAGGAGAGGAGGAGGAGGGGAGGAGGGAGGAGGAGGGAGGAGGAGGAGGAGGAGGAGGAGGAGGAGGTGTGTGCGGGCCTCCCCTCAAGAGCCAGCAGCCCTAGCCTGCCGGGCGGGGACCAGGGCCTCTGGAGGCTGGAGCTCCGAGGCGGTGCCTCCTCCTCCTCCTCCTCCTCCTCCTCTCCCTCCCTCCTCCTCCTCCTCCTCCTCCTCCTCCTCCTCCTCCTCCTCCTCCCCTCCTCCTCCTCCCCCCTCCTCCTCCTCCTCCTCTCCTCCTCCTCCTCCTCCTCCTCCTCCTCCTTCCTCCTCCTCCTCTTCCCTCCTCCTCCTCCTCCTCCTCCTCCTCGTCCTCCTCCTCCTCGGCGATGCCTGCGCTCGCCGGGGGCGCGCCATGGAGATCGGAGCGTGCGGAGGGACCCTTCGCCGGAGTGGTCCCGTGTGCGCGGCTTGCGAGGGGCGCCGGGGGGGTACGATTCCCAGACATGACCGCGTCGTAGACAAATCAGGACGGGAGGTTTTTACCATTTTCGGCCTTGAGGGGCCCTCGCCAGGCACCGGGGCCGTCAAAAAGCGACTCAGGATGAAAAACCGGCCCAGGGAAAGGGTCTGGATTTCGGGGGCGCCGTCCTGAAAAAGTCAGGACGCGGCCCCCGCTGCGGGCATGGTCGGGGCCCGGCCGGGAGCAGGCTGGCGGGGCCGGGGCCTCAGAGAGTTGGCGCGTCCGGGCAGCACGCAGTGCGAGACACACGCAGAAGAAGTGTTGATTGGCGGCGCGCAGAGGGGGGTAGGGGGAGAGGGGAAGGCTTCTTAGAAGCACCCCTGCTTCTTAGAAGGCGTGGGCCTTCTCTATAGACGTAAGGCCGAGGCCTTCTAAGAAGCAGGGTGCTTCTAAGAAGCCTTCCCCCCTCCCCCTACCCCCTTTTGCGCGCCGCCAAGTTGAGGGGAGGGAGGGAGGGGGGGGGGGAGGGTCAACCCGAGCAGGCAGGCCGCCATCGTCGCGCCGCGCGCAGGGGTCGGTAGGTTGCACAACACAGGCCGCTCTTGCCCAGGGTCGCTCTTGCGTGCCGCCGGGGGGAGCGGGGTCCAGCGCCGACCCCCGCGGAGCTCCAGAAGCCCACGCCCGCGCCATGCTTTGGCCCTCTCCAGGCACCTACGAGTTCCACCTAGTGGTGGGCCGCTCGACCGCGGTGGACGTCAGCGGCACCGCGGTCCACACCCTCGTTGTGGGCCTCTCCGGGCCACCGCCGGTCGAGATCGCCGTGCCTTGGTCGGCCATGGACCAGGTCTCGATGCAGGTCGGGGGCTTCTCCTCGACCACCGCCACCCTGCACGGCGGCGCGGCGTGCCCGGTGTCCACCTCGTGGTTCTTCGCGTGGGCCCTGGTGTCCCCGTCGGAGGCCATCACCGTGGTCACCCCCGGGCTCAACGGCTCCAACGGCACCTCCGAGACGCTCCAGGAGTGGTCCGTGGAGATGCTGCTGGACACGCAGGTCCAGGAGGCGGACCTGGGCGCGCTGGCGACGACGACGGCGGGCGGCATCCGCGACCAGCTCACGGCGGGCCAGACGTACTCCCTCGTGCTCCTCATTCTGCCCCAGGACTCGGCGGCGAGCCCAGGAGGGAAAAGAGAGGGGGCAGGGCTTCTCAGGGAGGCGGCGGGGCTTCTTGGAAGCCCTCGCGCCTTCCGAGGAGCCACCTGTGGCTCCGGAGAAGGCCCACGGGGCTCCTCGCGGAAGGCCAGAGGCCTTCTGAGCTTTCCGAAGAGGCCCGCCACGATGCTTCGCCAGGAGTTCACAGGGGTCCCTTCGGCATTGGCTGGCGCGCTTGCGTTGCGCTGCTTTGGTCTCCCACGGGGCCCCCTGAGGCCGCGACCAAAGGTCGGCCACGCGCAGGAGGTTGGGGGAGGGGGGGGAGGGCTTCTCAGAAGGAGGCTGCCCCCCTTCCCCTCCCCCTCTGCGCGTGGCCCAGAGCTGTGGCCGCACTCGTAGGCAAACTTTGACGTCCGCCCCGAGCCGTCAACACTCTAAACAATCGCGTGGCCGACAAAAATGTTCCTCTTGCCTCGAATCATGTTCGCATTCATAGGCAAACTCGACATCCGCCCCGAGCCGTCCAAAGTCTAAACAACTCGGTTGAAACTCTGACTGAACCGTTCGAAGGAGAACAACGCCATAAACATACATTTGCGGCACTCCGCGCGGATTTCTTGGATCCGCGCTGGCCCCCCCCCCCCCCCACACACACACACACACACACACACACACACACACACACACACACACACACA